GGTAAATTGAAAAAAAAACTAGATTGTAGACAACGAAGCAGAGAAGAAGGCAGCAAAATCAAGTATGTTTTTCAAAATCAAAAGAAATTAAGAAAACAATCTAAAACAGCCGTAGTCGCGCATTGTATGCATTTTCAGAAGCACGGCTTCAATCTTATGCTTGCGTTGCAATACCACCAGAGAAGTTATTAGTATTTCTATGAAGGTCAAACTGCATCCTTTCTGCAGAGTAATTATTAGTTATGAGTTTACAGTAAGCAGGGAAGAGAAAATTATAAATTTGCAGCTTTGAATTCATATCGCTCCAATAATGGCCCTCTAAAGAACAAATCTCATTTGTCATCGTCTTATTAATTTTCAGTCGCCCACCTTATGGAAACATTCGACCCTAGCGGACGATGGATTCCAATTTTTGAAATCCACATGGTCGGAAAGCTTTGGCAGGGTAAGCAAGGCGCATAACTGGCGATAGTCTTCTGGAGATGGACAGATGTGCTCGAGATCTTTAAGGCACTCCACTAATTCCTAGAAACATTACTGGATTTTACGACAGTTTAAGGGGAGGTACAAAACCTTACTTCTACAGCAAAGTCATTGTCGTGTAGAGGTCCCGGCTCCAATTTTACGCACAGCAATTCAAAGAACTTGTATTTTGTGATGAGATACCTGAAAAAAGTAGCGGATTTTACTTCTTGATTTAAATTTTAGTAAGAAAAGAGAACCTGAATTGTCTAAAGTCGAAGTCCTGTACACTTTTAAGTGGTTCAACAAAGTCTAATGCGTTATCCCACTGTCCATCAAGGATCAGTTGTCGCAAGAAAAGGAGATCATCCGAGTATTTGCCGTTTATCACACCCGTTTCCCTTTCCAGTGATAGCTGAAAACGAAACATTTTAAGAAATAAGCACAAAAAATAACTCGAGATCTCATATCTTACTAATATGAAGATTAAAAAGCACTTTTAGCGCTATTATTCAATCAATTACCCTCAGCCTTTTCCACTC